TGATAGAAGGAAAGGAAAAGGTGGAAGGAACCACCAAGTGCTACTTGAAGGAGCAAATTCAAACTTCAATGGGCACCTCTTCACAGGAATCAGAAAAATAACCCACCCAAACACATCTGTTCATTCAATAGTTTCAATTGGGAAAATGTGGCAACCTTAGAGCAGGCCAAGTCCGAAAACTGACTGTTGTATGTTTTAAATTATGTATTGTTGCGTGTCGTTTTAATTTTTGTTTGTATCCCCCTCCCTTGGTTTGCGTTGTGAGCCGCCCTGAGTCCCCTTCGGGGGGAAAGGGCGGCATATAAATAAAATAAACATACAAACATACAAAGCCTTTTGGGGGCAGGGACGAGGTGCCCTGAACGGATGTTTCTATCTGAGTTTTGGGCTTTAGTGTGAATACAGCTTATTGCTACCATCTTGCTACCCACAGCTCTTGTGCTGGACTCTGAGGGGTGGGGTTGCTTGGGCAGAGCTATTGAGCCACTGAAGCTCCCCGGGTCAATGTAACAAAGACTAAACCAGGAGGACCTTTACCTGGCACACGGCCAGTCCTTCCCACCACCCCCTCCCCTCCAAAACCTTGGTAGCCAGAGGCTGCCAAGTCAGTGGGAGGGTCAACGTGGCTGAGCCCCGAGTCTTCATTGCCATCTTCAACTCAGCAAATACAGTCGGCTGCGAGGCGCTAGAGGGTGGAGGCGTATCAAGTTAAGAAAAGTTTTGTTTTCTTTACGTTCTATGAGATTGCTTTGACTCCCCCAAAAGAGGAGTGATTAAATAGAGCCGTTTTCCCGACCCACCTGCTTCAGTTGCTTTCAAAATATATAAACTGAATTAAAATAAAACAACAAAAACCGAGAATCCATTATTTTTATCCATGTTACTATCCTATTATACATAATTAGAGAGTGGGGTGCTTCAGACATCTGAGGATGGGCTGTTTGTTTATTTTTTCTTTGTGTTACTTAATGAAATTATTTCCCTCTTACTCAGAGCACAAAAGAGGGAGAAATCCCGACTGCGGTTGACCCTCACGTGAGCTACTCCGGGGACGGCTGGGCGTGCGATACGAAGGTTCCCAAGGGCAGCTCCACCTGGAGTCCCGTCACGAGGTGACCAGGACATGAGCGACCGTTCCAGAAACGTGACCGTCCCTGCCCCCACGGCCGCCACCTGGCGTAGAAGCAGGACCCAGGAGTCCAGAGAGATTCCTAGACGGTGGATTAGCTCCATTCAGTTTTGATGGGGGGGGCATCAGGTGCACCTTCCGGAACACAGGGAGCGACAGCGGTAACTCCCTAACCACTCGTCAAGGCGGAAGGCAGAGTTAGGCGGCCGCCTGGGGGCTTCTGGGAAAGGGCCGAGGCCTCCCGCTTTGCAGGGGCTCCCTTGCTGCTCCATGGCAGCTTTTGTGACCAGGTCCCCGGAGGGAGGGGCTGCTGACACACAAAGCAAGCCAGGAGGGGGAAGAGACCACGAAAGGAACGGGGGGAGGGAGGCTGAGGACCGACCCCCTTCGTCCCCCTTGGGCCTCCGTATTAAGCTCTCCCTGGCCCAGGTGCAGAACAACTTTTAGCAGCTGCATTTAGTGTTTTGGGGAGGCAAACAGCCACCACCAGCCGAACAGGAAGGGGTTGGCTGGGTCCAGGGCAATGCCACCTCTCAGGGCCCCGACTTCAACATTCAGAGGGCGGGTCTCGTGCTCTTCTGCCTCAGAAGGGTGGAAACTGCCGCTGGTTTGGGGCAGCTGTCCTCACAGGAGGCCCTTCAAGAGTCGCATGAACCCCAAGGCCTCCACTGTGGTTCGAGCTGCTGGCCTGCAAAGTGAGAGGCGACGAAAAGACCTACTGGAGGGCAGCTCCTCTGAAACCCCCTCCCTGGAGGAGAGGAGAGGGGGGTCTCCTGGGGCAGGGAATGCCCACCACGGGAAGGCAGCCTCTGCTTCCTGTCCCAGCAGACGGGATCTTGCTCAGCGCAGGCTCCGAGGCCTTTCTTTCTTGTGTGGCGGACAAAGGGTGGGCTGCCCTGGGGGAATGGAAGCCACGTGCCAATTGGGCCCTTTCTGGGAGGGAGACGGCTGGGGGCTTAGGAAGGGAGCCAAGGCACCTGCAGGCCTGGCAGGGAGAGGAAAGAAACTCTTCTGCCAATAAGGGCAGAGTCGGGTTGAACAGGCTCCCGCCCAGGGGTGAAATCTGCTCACTAAATGTGAGCGCACGGGCCACATCCGCACATGCACAGGACATTCTGCGCATGCACAGAGCGTCAAAAACAGACGTGATGATGTCCATGCGGGTAGGCGGAGCCTGCTACCAAGCACGCCTAAAAGGTAAGTAGAAGAGCGGGGGGAGGGGGAAATCCACTGTGCCACACGATTCAATTACTGCTTTCTACGCAATATAAATCACGCGTCACAGCTGATCGTCGGAAATACCGGTTTGCCCGAACTGAACCTGTAACTTTCTTTACTACCGTTCAGGCGAAGCGATCCAAACCGGCAGCCTTTCACCCCCTGCCCATACAATGCGCTGGCTAAAGAGATCTTAACTCCCCGTCAAACCCGAGGAGAGAGACCACTTAACTCTCCGCTTCCCCACACCCCACAACGCCTGTGACCCTGAGCCTCCAGGAGGAGAACCGGAGCCCCCAAGGGGGATTTCCCTGCAGGCTGCCACCCAGCCGGGCCAAGTGGGATAGGGAGGGGTCCCTTCAGGGCAGCCCCTTCCCTGGCTCTGCACTGGGCGGAGCCCAACTTTGATGGCAAGCAGCAGCCCTGGGTCGCTTGACTCTGCAACGCCCCGTGGGCGAGCCAGAGACCCTGGGGGAATGGAATGGGGTCTCGCACCTCGGAGGGCGTGTGACAAGGACCTTCTGGATCTGGAAGCGGCTCTGCTGCAGGGAGGGAGCCGCTGAGCCTTCTGCAACTCTCCACCCCTCCCTCATGCCGCCAAGCCACTCAAGGTCCCCCCCACCCAGGAGGCTGAACTGAACCTTCTGCAGGCGCCTGGAGCTGCCACTTGCCTGGCACCAACTGCAAGAGCCGCCGTCCGTGCTCCAGGGTCTCTTCCAGTTCTGCTGGCTTGGACTGGACTTCCCTGCGCAGATCCTGGAGGAAAGCAAGCGCCCAGGTGGCTCCAGGCGGCCTTGAGGTCCTTCCCGCTCCCTGATCAGGGAACAGAGCCTCCCACCCATCGCTGCCCATCCTCCTCCCTTGGGCCTCCTTGAAGCCTTCCCGGCACCCTGCCTGAATCTGCTGGTGGGCATCTTGGCTTCGTGCCAGGCTCCCAGGGGCTCCCCAGAGTTGGGCCAGTTTCCGCTCCGTCAGGCTCAGCCAGTCTTGAAAAGCCTCCACGGATTCCTGGAAGAGGCTGGCGGCCGGGACGATCTGCTGCAGGCAGCTGTGCCTATGGAAGAGGAGATGGGGGCCCCAGCAGGAGCCCAGCAGGGAAGGGCTCCCTCTTGCCCTCCAGGACGCTTGGAGCCACCGGGAGGGACGTTCCAGTGAGAGGGGCCGGAGGGCACCAGCCCTAGGCAGACTCCCTTGCCCTTCTCCTCCTGTGCCTTCCCTCGCCAGGGGGACCCTGAAGGGGCTCAGGGAAACCGCCCCTCTTCAGCCAGGCTGGGAGAAGGGCGAGGGACCGGAGAGGGACTGATGCCACATGGGGGCCAAGGAGCAGAAAGGCCGGTCTCTCCAGTCTTTCCCTCCTTGGGTGGGCGATGCACACCCTGGGCAACCCCAGGCTCCCCTCCACCCCTTTGCCCACTAAGGCTTGGCACAAGCAACCATAGAACAGACCGCCACGAATCTTGAGTTGCTCCGGAACATTCCGGGTTTTGGTTCAGGTGGAGCAAAGAGGCCCTCCTGCTTTTGGGCTCTTCCGTGGCTGGGAAAGGATCAGAACCCTGGAGGCCCTGCGCAGGGTGGGCTGGAAACCCCCCTCCCAGGCCTGTGCCCCACTGGGTGAAATGCCCAAAGTTGCGTTTGCAGGACACGCCTGGTCTGGTTGACGCTGGCTGCACGAAGCAGGAAAAGCCCCACCAGGTTTTGCAAAGGACACAAAGACCAGCAAGCGAACAGCATTTGGGGGCGGGGGGGGCAGCAAAGGAACTTCTTCTTTCCCTCCCCCCAGATGCCGTGGGCTCTCTCTACCTGGCTTCCGCCTCCTGGACCAGGATCTCCCACTTCTCCTGCAGGCTGGCGAGGCCCCTGGGCTGCTCCGGTCCCTCGGCAGCACCGGCAGGCTCAGCAGGGAGCGGCTGGCAAAGGCGGCTGATGTGTGGGGTCCGCTCCCCCAGCAGGCGCAGCAGAAGCTGGAGAAGAGCAGAGCGAACGGTGGGCCTCCCGCAGCCCTGTGGCCTCATCCCCTCTTGCCGCAGAGCCTGCCAGGCCCCCTTGAAGCCGCTCAGTCTCGCGCTCAACAGGAGCCTCTCTGGCTCGTCATGCGGCTTCCCAGCCTGGTCCCAATGTGAACGGCCTCCCCCTTTATCTCCTCCCCCTGTGGCTCCCAAACGGGAGGCCCGGCCCTTCCCTTGCAGGCAGACGACAGGCCCGGCGGTTGCAACCCAAACGGGCTGTTCCCCAGCCCATGGCTGCAGTGGAGGATGGAGCCGCCTGAGGTTGGGTCCCCTTGGGCAGCCCTCGGGCATGAGCTGAGAGCAGCTGACACCCGCCCTCCCCCTGCAGCCAAGGGAGCCCAGACTGAGCCTCTTCCCAGCCCCACCTCCTTCCCTGGGACGGCTTGGGAATAGCCCCTTCCCCATGGCTCTTTACAACACAGGTGCAAATCGTACTGGGCAGAGTATTTTTATATTAAAATTGCGTATCATTTCGAAATGGTAATAAGCTCCCAAGCTCCCATGTCCCACTTCTGGGGCCGTAGCTTTTCAAGACGGGGGTCATCTGGTGAGTCCTAACAACCAGGATGGTGGTCATGGCGATGATGAGGTTCCAGGAGAGCCATTTTTAGACACAACAGCTGTGCAGGTTCCCGCTGACCTGCATTCTACTCCCCCCTCCCCAAACCCAGAGCAACCTCCGCCAAGGTGCAGCTCTTTCCGAAGCTCCAGGTGTGAAAGCTGCTGCTCCCTGCTCACCTTTTGCTCCTGCAGCTGCGCCTTCACGACCTTGGCTTCCCCCGAAGGAGGTTTCTGGTGGCCCATGAGGTCCTCCACTTCACTCACCCAGGCAGCCAGCTTCCCTGCAGCCTCCGGGGTCAGCCCAGCGCCCTGCGTGCCTCCTGGGAGGGCAGCTGCCTGCAGGGAGAAGAAGAGGCCTCGCTCAGCACAGCTCTCCCACAGGTGGCTTCCGGCATCTCCTCAATGCACCGCGAAATTGGGGAGGGGGGTGTCCCCTACAATCCTTTCGATTCCCAGCAACTGTCCCTAAGGGGAAGGCAGCTTCTGCTCCTCAGACCCACCTGCTAAAACCACTTATTTACCCCTCTCCAGGTTGGGCAGTGCTGCGCCTGGGGCACAGATGGCCAAAAAGGCTCTACCTGGGCAGGTTAAACCTGTCGTGTGAATGCAACCACTGGCTCTTTAAAGAACACCCCCGTGTGGCTAGGGATGGTGCCTGGTTCTCCAGTCAGAGCTGAGGGGCTGGTTGGAGCCCACAAGCTACGCTGGGGGTTTCTTCTGTTCTTGACTGTGGTCTAAACGTGGCCACTGACGGGAACCCCCACAAAGGACCACTCCAGACTCCTAACTGCGAAGCACATGGCAGAAGGAGGGGTGAGGTACAGAGGCAGTGGCTGGGCCCCCACAATGCACCTGAGGGCTGACCACACACACACACACACACACTGCAGAAGGCAAGACCAAGGCCAAGGTGGACAGGAGCCTCCTTCCGGAACCACCTTACCTGTCCCCCAGCCCAGCTCCCCACCTGGTAGCCGTTGGCATCACCAACCCTGTCAGAGGAGGAAGAGGCATCCCCAGAGCTCCCTCCGCACAGGTTGGCAAGAGGCCCCTCTTCTGCTCTGAAGGTGCCAGCCAATTCCATGGTCTGACCCTCGGCCACCGGGCACAGTTCTCTGCTCCCAAAGCAAACCTCTCTCCCTGCTTGGGGCTAGGTGGGCCGGGAGCCCTCTTGCCAGAGCGAGAGGAGGGAGGGCAGGGACTTGGCCGGTGGAGGGGACAGGTCCAGCAGCCTGCCAGCCCCTGCCTTCCAATGCAGCCCCTGCCTTCCTGGAAGGGAGAGCAGATGCCTGGATTCTGGGGGCTCCCTTGCCAGGGGCTTCTGGCCCTGCTTCAGAGGCCTCTCTGAGCGGATGAGCCGCTTAATGGCCGTGGCCACCCCACCCGTGCAAGAGCCACAGCCACCTTATCTTGGCTGCAAGACAGTCTGGCAGCAAATGTGAAGGGCGGGCACAGCACCTAGCCAGAGCACTGCCCCACAGCCCCTTGCTCAGAGTGCCAGGGCCGGGGCAGAAGGGGTGAAGTTGCCGCCACGGAGCCTGTTGACCTGGGCTTCTCGGACATCAGCCAGCACCTTCTCCACCCTGGTCACCGAGGTCTCTCGGCTCCTGTCCCCACCGGGGTACTCTGTCACTTCCAGGATCTCAGTCACCACCGTCTCCGTCACTTCCGTCACTTCCGTCACCTCCCTGGTGGTGGGCAGCTTCCAGCCCCAGCTGGCCCCCAAGCTCCCGGGGGAGGTCCAGGGGGCCACGGCTCCTTCCGGCTGAGTTTGGAGGGGGCAGCAACTGGGCAGCTTCAGGTCCAGATTGTTTTGCTTGGGGAGGGGGCTGCTCTTTGCCATGGTCCAGCCATTCTCCATCACCCGTGGGCCGGGGCAAGCGTTCTCTGAGGACCTGCCTGCGCCAGCCTCCTCCTCCTCCTCCTCCTCCTGGTTGTTGGAGGCGGCTGAGCAGGGCTCCTTCGGGACGTCTTCGGGTCGGGGGCTTTTCTGCCCCAGACAGCTGGGCCTGCTGACAGAGTTGCCCATGGCCAGCGGGCAGGAAGAGCCGGGCTGCCTCTCAGAGCCCCCTCGGAGCCAGGGGAGCGGCCGCCAGCCTCTCAGGGGTGGGACCAGGCAGGAGAGAGCCGGGCGGGCGCTTCCCTTGGCCCAGCCCGTGGGGGCTCATGGCTGCTCCGGCAGGGAAGGGCTTTCCTCGGGAGGCTTCGGGTGCCAGCTGAGCGCCTGGCTGGCCCCGCACCTGCTGAGGAAAAGGCGCCTTGTTGAAGGGGAGGCGGCGGGGTGGGCGTCGCAAAGGCGGCAGCCGGGTCGGGCGGGGACGCGGGCTTGCATTGAAGCCCAGCCACCACGAGGCCCGGCCGCACAATAGGCTGCGCTGCCCTCGCCCCGGCCCCGCCCCGGCCAGCGGCGCTGCTTTGCTCGGCGCCGGCTTCCAACCCATCCGCCCCTCGAGCGAAGCGGGCGGCGTGAAGGAGACAATCGGCCGCGCCTCCCCGCCGCCCTTCCTCGCTGGGCGCTGCACCGGCGATGCCGCTCTGCCCGGCTCTGCCCAGCTCCGCCCGCCGCCACTTCGCGCGAACTTCCCGGGAGCCGGCCGGGGCCAGGGCCGCTCGGCTTACCTCCCTGGCGAGGCGCGGAGACCGCCCGGCATCCCCACCCGGCGCTTCGGCCTCCGTTGCTCCAGAAGCAGCTGCCCCGCCCGCTTCGCCGTCTCAGCGGCACCTCAGGGCATCCCCGCGGTGGGGCGGGGCGGGGCGGCCGAGAGACCCTCGCCCGAAGGGGCGGCGGGCGCAGAACCGACTTGCAGCGGCCGCCCCGCCCCTCGAGCGAGACTCTGGGCTGGGGCCGCCCAGGCTCGGCGGCAGCAGGTGGCGCGGAGGAGGGGCAACGGGGAACCCCCTGCCCTTCCCTCGCCTGCCCCTCGCCCACCAAGACCAACCGCTGCCTGCCCTGGACTCCTCGCCGCTCCCGCGCTAACGCCCCGTTGCCGTCACTGGGGAAACACCCCGGGGCTCCCAAGCACGCCGGCGGGGGCCGGGGAGAGGCGGGCGCCTGGACCACCAAGGCCCTCAGCCACGACGGCTCTCCAGGCAGTGCCCCCCCATACCCCGGTCCCTCCCAGGCCCCTGCCGGCCGCGTAGCCTGAGGCCGGAGGAACCCCGTAGGTGCGCACCCCGACCCTGCCCTTGCACGGCCCGCCAAGGTCCCGGAGCCGAAGCCAGGAAGGCGAGGTCGCCCCTTTCCCCTTTCCCCTAGCTGGGCGGCGGCGACGACTCAGCAGCTCCGCTCGGGGACCTGCGACCACCCGGAGGTCGCGCCTCGCTCCCCCGAGAGGCGAGCTGAGCGCCCCGGAGCAGCGCTGCCTGGAGGGGAGGGCACAAATACCCGGGTAGAAGGAAGCCCCTGGCCCGGTCGGCTGCGGTCCCTGGCAGGATTGCCAATCCCCCCCCCTCCCCAAAGAAGGTCCTCAGAAGGCAACAGGTAGTCTGCAGTCTGAAGACTCCCTCTGGAGGCCCCTGGAAAGCCCCCCCCTTCCCAAAGTAGCAGAGCTCCCCCAAACATTGTCAGCCAGTCCTGCCACACCCAGCCAAGTGTGTCCTTTTTGCTATGCTGCACCAACACAAAATAAAATAACTGTCTGGGGATCTTGAAACATTTCCCCCCTCCTTGAGACTTTAAGACAAAGGCCCGGAACCAGATACCCAGCCATGGACTCCCCCATGCGTCCCCTGGATAATCCACAAGGTCAGGTGCCCCGAACCCATTAAAAGCCGCTGCACAGACACCCCCAGGGGATGACAGCACTGGATGTCTCTGCCCTGGAGGCCAAAGCATTGGATGAATGCTTGCAAGAACCACCGTAGGTATGTCTAGCCTAATGAAGAGAAGGACTAGAGGGGGCATGATAGCAGCCTTCCAGTATCTGAGGGGATGCCCCAAAGAGGAGCAACCTATTCTCCAAAGCACCTGAGGGCCTCAGGACAAGAAGCAACGGATGGAAACTAATCAAGGAGAGAAGCAACCTAGAACCGAGGAGAAATTTCCCAACAGTGAGAACAATTAGCCAGTTGCCACCAGAAGTTGTGGGCGCTCCGTCAGTGGAGGTTTTCAAGAAGAGACGGGACAACCATTTATCCAAAATGGTATATAGGATCTCATCCCTAGCAGGGGGTTGGGCTAGATGATCTCTTACTCCCTTATTCTGTAATTCTGGGGTTTAGTTTAGTTTAATGAAATTTGTATGCCGCCCACTCCCATTGGGACTCTGGTGCTTTTGTCCACAAACTAAATGATCAGCAAGACCTCCCCTACGGCAGAGGCCTCAGCAGGGCAGGAGGAGAGGCTGGGTGAGGCCTCGGGCACAGCAGACAAAGGAGAGAAAGTCACCCTTGTGAAGGTGGTGGTGGGTGACACGGAGGGACTGGCACCACGTTCCTCCACATTCTCTCCCCAGATTCCCCAGCAATGTGTCGGATGCCAGGCTTAGAAAGGATGGCCTCAGGCTGCGTCTCCCCAGGAGCCCCACCAAGGGCGTTGCCCTCCTCCTTCCTGCAATGCCTGAGCTTCCCACCAGGGACCGTTGCCCCTTTGTACGCCCGTCTCCCTTGGGAGGATGGCATGAGTGGCACAGCCTGTGCAGTCCTGCACCCTCGCATGTGGACCGTCCACCCATCCCAAAGCAGATTCTCACAGCCAACCAGAACAGCAATTAGCCCAACACGGGAACCGGAACCTGCACCAAGCCTGGGTGTCTAATTTGCCCGCTGGGCTCCACGCACAGCTCCAGCATGGGCCCAGGCAGGGCATGCCTGTGATTGGAGGTGGTGTCGCATGCCCTTCCTCTCAGATCCTGCATGCCATCCTCTGCCAACAAAGCCTCCCTGGACTCTGCGCAGGACAAAGGGCAAACTCTGCGCACACAAAATGGTGCGGCTGTTTCCAATGTAAGGTTGCACGACTTGCATGGCTATCCAATCTCTGTACGTCTCTCGGGGTATCCGAGCTGCATTCGGAGCAGCAGAGCCGAAACTTTCAGCTCTCTGCGAATCTTCCAGGTCGGTGCATGGAATGTGCCTCAACAATCGTTCCAGGTTCTCTCTGTTTCTTTCCTAGGGGCAGGTAGTCAGCAGGTACTTAAAGGCGTAGGTTGCCTTGCTGTAAAAGCAGATTTCTATCCAACCGCACGGGATAAATTGCAAGTTATTTTTGTGATTAGCAACCCGCAATCAATAAGATACACCCAAATGTGTTCAGGAAGCAAAATCTTTGTTTTCACAACAAAACCTGTGGAGGGAAGGTGGGGAGTTGCGTGACATATTAGGGTGAGAGCAGTTAAAATCCAAGCCTTGGCGCAAGTGGCCTGCCCAGGGCAGGTGTGATCTTTCAGGCTGAGGGAGGGAGTGATTCTGTTCCATGGGGACATTGTCTACGCAACCAGCCAGCCAGGGTTTTTCTATAAGCCGCGGCCTCTGGCCTTTGAGGCCTTCCAGGGTAACTGCGTCCATCCCCTTTGGTCATCCTCTCCTCCTACCTTTTCCAGAGGTTACAGCCTTTGAGAGAGGGGGGGGGATCTTCACACCATGTATCCAAAATTGAAGCTAGTCATGGGTGCAGCCTGATTGGTCTGATGATCCACCCATTTGTTTCCTTGGTGTCCACCCTCTTCTCACAATCTTCTCCAAGGCCAAAGTACAAAAGCACACCAATATCATCTTCTCCAGCTTCTTCAGATCTGACTCTTCCATGGAGGGTCAACAGGGAAGGCCTGGTAGCACGTTCTGGCCTTCCTAGGACTAGACCTGCGATGCACCGAAAGACCCACCACATAGGGCAGATTTCGCTGCTCTAACTAGGCCTGGCCAGCATCCGAAGACGCCTGGGGGGACAGGCGAGAGAGAGAGAAGGCAAAGCCCAGGCGGAGCTGAAGCTGCACTTGGGCAGAGCACTTTGGCATCTCACCTGCTCAGGAGCAGAGTTTGGCTCCAGACAAGAGAGGCAGCCTCTCTTCTGCAACATCCATCCAGCGAGGCAGGGTGAGCGGCCTCCCCACCGTGCCACAGCCACGGCCTTCCTTCCACCGGGAAGCATTAGCAGGGCAGGAGCTTCCAGAAGGAAAAGCAGACTAAACCTTCCGTGCCAGATCAGAAGCCCAGGGGGCGGCACAGGTGGGCTTCCTCCAGGGTGGGATTTTGGCTCCGCACTGTGTGCCCACCTTTGCCCGCTCTGGCTGTGTCCCTCTGCAGGGATGGCCACCACTCGGCCTCTGCCAACAGGTGTGGCTGGCTGGGGTTGGCCCAGCATCGCAGTCCCCGTGTTCTGACAACTGCCTGCCGCTCTCCACAGCTCTTCCTGGCGTCACCGGGGGGGGGGGGGATTCCTGTTGGATCAGGAGCCTGGCTCTGCCTCCTGACTCGAGCAAGGGGAGCCAGGCATGGTGAGGCTGCGGGTCCTCCTGTCCAGCGATGGGCCTGTACTCCAAAGTCTCCATGCAAAGCCCAGCCATGCGTGTTGACTGGTGACTTCTGTTCTCACCTAGGCTTCCCAAGAGCCTGAAGCCAACTCCTGGTCCCGACAAAAACCCCTTTTATTAATGGATGTAAATTCTGCTCATTCACATCCAGCAAAGTCTTTTAAGGGAGTATTTCCAGTCACCGACCTTATCTGGCTTGGAGAGCTGCCAGGCCGATATCTGCAAAACTTGGCAAGGAGTCTCGGAGAGTCATGAACCAATTAAGCAAACTAATTGTCTCCTGCAAACTCCACTCCCCTGTCGCCCCTCTTTTATTCCTTCTGGGAGAGGCCATTCATTGTACACCTGTGGCCTTACTCCCAAGTCCACCCCTGTTCTTTAGCTGTTCCCTTCATCTGGCAGCTCTGCGCAACATCCATCCCAGTGCACACTGGGAACAGGCTCCAGCTGTTCTTCTGCCTCACTGATGTCTGACTCTGAAGGCAGCTGATAACTGGAATGTGGCTCTGGCCCCCTCTCTGCCTCTGACACAGAGCCCTCCTCAGAGCCTTCCTCAGAC